ACAGCAGTCAGCTTCAATGTTGGTACATGACTGATTCATCAAGAGCGCTTGTATTCAGGTTTCCCTTTTAAATTCCAGTTTGTTCCTCAGACCCTGCTGAGTTTTAACTAGGTAACTGTCCTCTCTCCTCTAAGAAGAACAAATAAAAGCAACACAAGGGCCAACACGTGTTTCTACTCACTTAAAGTAAATGAAATACTAAGGGGAGAAGGACAATGTTCTGTAAAAGTACACAGTGCTATGACTACTTTGATCTCCCAACAACAGTGGTTATTACAATTTGACAAAAAGTATGCCTTTAAATTAAAAGAGAATGTTAAAAAAAAATAACCAATGTGCTACCTACAAGAAGCACGTTTGCATGCAGAACTAACAAGGAAAATAAGCTCAAAGAGTAGGACCAGTAAAGAACATGGGTCCCATGGGTAATGCCTAAATTCTATTAAGTTCCTAGGCATGCTGTACCCACATGGAGGAGGGAAACCTAACACAAAATCCTACATCCACATACATCTACTAGGAAAGAAATGCTAAGCTACTGGCCAGCATCTGAAATGCCATCACTCCGGGGCTGAGCTCCAGAGGCAAGCATCCCTGTCAATTTGGTATGCAGGGACCAGTATCTCTCTGGTTATGCTCTCTGTATCTTTTTTTTTTTTTTTTTCCTAAGAGCTGATCACATTTCACTCTTACAAATGACAACAGAATGATGCTTGGGACTCCCCAGCTAATATGCTGGGCTCTGCTGGGAACCAGTCGGGGTGAGCTGACCAGAACCACCAGAGAGAACAGAAGCAGCACTTGACATTAGCTTTGCTCCATTTCCATTGTGCACAAGGGAACAGATGCCCCTCAGTTCCTCTGCATTTCTACCTCCTTTTCAAAATATCAGAGAGAGGAAAACAGGTGACACCTGCTATGCCACACACCTCAACCTGCTTCCCTCTGACCAGTTAAGTGTAGTACCTCAGCTGCTCACCTCCATCCTTCTGCCTCACTCTTCCCCTTTCCCTCCCCTATGCTAAGGGAGAAGCAGGGAAGCTGTTATGTTTCTCCAGCTAGCACTCTCCCTCTATGTGTCAGAAGGGAAAAGCGCAGAGGAAAAAAAAAAAGACCTGGTCCTTGAGCAAACACTTAAGCCTGTGGCTGCGGGTGAAGTCCTGCAGTGAGTTCTGCTCCCCACTCTCAACAACCTCCTAACAGTCTCCCACAGCTGCCAACCGCCTGTATAAGATCCACCAGTTATCCAGGATTCTTGATCAGAGCCCAGCTTTTACACTCCAGGCTGTTGTATCAAAAATAGATACAACCATCCCTTTTCCATCTACTGTCTGTTCCCACCCTGTCCTGAAAAGGCGTCTGCCAGAGATGCGCATCATGGGGGTTTCCAGCCCTGCACTGACTGCCAGCCTCCTGCAGGGCCTGGAAGGTCAGCGGCAGTCTTGTTGCTGCATCAGGATCGGGCTGAAGGAGGAGCATGATGTACTGCTATGAAGGCACCTGCACTGCTAGGCATTTGCACAAATAAGAGTCCAAGTACCTACTGCACAAGATAATAGCTGTTGGATGAATCACAATTCTGGACTTTAGCAGTTATCTGCCCAGACCTGCTTATGGTGCCCAAATCAGTTATTCAAATTCAGTCCTAAATTCCTTAGCAAGGTGTGAGAATTTGAGTCTCTGTTTGCAATGTACTGCTTAGCTTAAGTGAGTGCTCCTGTGGTTTAAACCCAACATGACTGCATAGCTCTAAGCAAAGTCTTGTGTGTTGGGGGAAAGTTGGCACAAATAGAGACATCTACAGCATCTCCACAGAAAACTTAAAAACTGAGAAGTTTATTGGATTGAACAGATCAAAATAAATAACAAAAATGGGGGCTCATTAAGTTTAGTTCTTTATGTTCATTTATACTCATTCCAGCTGTGGATAATGTGTTTTAGAATAAACAGTATTGTAGATGACTATGGGTAAGATAGCATTCCAGCTTGATTCTACCCATCAGCAAACTCTAGGAGACTTTCCAAGGCTACTTTTCAGTGGTAAGAGCTACTCACACCTAATGAAATGACAATTCAGTGGTTGCAAGAATAAGAACGCATAAGGTTCTTTTCATAATACTTTATGCTAAAATAGGGATGTATTTTATCTAAATAGTAGGATCATACACATTTTTATGTTTGGAAGTTTACTCAAAAATAGTATGAAAATATTCTTAAAATACTACAGCTTGAAACAACGCATGACAGAAAAAATCTGCAGGTGTAGCATGCAGAATGGGTATCACAATGTTCTGGTGGACAACAGGGAGAGTACAGATTACCAGAAATTACATGATTGTTGTCATTAAAAATAGTAAAACATTAGTTACATTACAGGAAATACTAAAAATACAGTAAACTTTGCAGTTTACAGGTTCTGTAAGAAGAATGGTTTTAGTGCTGTATTAATTACTATTGAAACTCAAACAGTACTAGCTCCTTAATCTACAGTGGCACTGTATATACATGTCAGGATTTGTGGTTTGAGTTGTACTGGTCATTGAGACAGGTAACATTCAATGAAGTTGAGAAAACATCAGCTATCACAATAACAAATGTATAAAATTCCCTGAAAAATTGCACAGAAGCCAACAGTGGCTGCTAATACCAGACAAAGCAAGAGAGAGGAAATGTTTGCCCTACAGTGTGGCATTGACTGCCAGCTGAGAGTCTACGTTGGACTTGCTCTCACAAGAATCCCAAGTCTGTCTGTCTGTCTGTCATGGGAGTTAGTTTTAAGTCCAGACAGAATTATTCTAGCCCATTCCTACCAAGGACTTCTGAACTGCTCTAGAAAATGTCTCCCTTTTCACAGCAATAATGCATCACGAACTCAGCATCTTGTATGAAAATACATTAAAATAGAGGATAAAAATTCCCCTCCTTTCCCCCTCAATATGAAGGCTACTGTGCTTTTGCCCCCTACTGCCTTCCCCCTGCTCAAATAAGAAGATGCAATCAAGGAGAAATTTATTTTGAACCAATTCTGCAAAACAGTTCAACAATGCCATACTTTATAAAAATACTTAGTTACATAATTAAACTTATTACTATTTATACAAAAAGTGTGAATGTGAATTTTAAACTCTGTTAGGGTAAGAACCACATCAAGGTCTTCAGGTGAAACAAATACATTTTCATAAACATACAAACTCTTTTGGAGAAGTCTTATAATACACAACCATTTACAATGAACATGTTCATTAAGTTAGTGTTTTATTCCTTTACTATACAAGTGTTATTACAATGAACTGTTCCATTCAGTAATTAAAAATCCAAACAATGCCAGTGTCATTTTTGGCATTTTTTGTTGTAACTGTATTAATACATAAACTCATATGATTGTGTTATTAATTTTAAAATATTTAGAAAAATTAAAATTCCATTGTATTTGGGTTTTTTTATTATTTTTGTGTGTGTGTGTTTTTATTTTTGTTTTTCTTACATAAAGCCCTTTTAAAATCTGATAACCACATATGAGCAATGATGAAGGAAAATGAAAAATGATGGCACTGTTCTTACAAAGATCTGTTTGGAAGTGGTATTCAATGTAGTGTAAACCCACAAAGAATGTTAAGTTTAGTACCAGAACTATGTTACCAGTTTTTCTGAAATTCATTTGTTGGATAGCTTTACAATGATAATATGAATTCCAACCTGGTAGCTAAGTAAGAGTTTAGTGTTTCAAAATTAAAGTACATAAGTTGATCAGAAATTCAAGAACCTCATGCAAATTGTTGAGTAAAAGACATGATGTTATTGCTTGATATGTCAGTAGCCAAAGAGAATAAATCTAGATGTAGTGTCAGCTGGGCTGCATGCCAGCAAATTTCAATGTCACTATTTGGACAATATTAAATATATTTTATCCCTTTAGTTTTTAAACTTTCACATTTTCTTTTGTTTATTTTTCATTAAATAATTCCGTAGGAAGGTCAGAAGTGGGAAGAGCAACTGCATGAAAGTGTGTCTTAATAGTCAAGAAAAGCAAAAGTGCAATCAAATCCCTGAACTAGTGACAGCTAGCATTTGCGGCACCCACCCTTGTTAACACATATAAGCCACATACAACAGTACCAAACCCGACTCTGAAAAAGGACTAAAAAGTGGCCATTTACCAGCTTCAGTCTTGCTTTCCTGGTGAGCTTTGTTCAGGTAGTCTTTCCATACAAAAGTTCGCTGTTGGATTGGAGCTTAAAAGATTAAAGGCTTCCCCCCTTGATTGTATTACATAGCTTCAAGTTCAAATATCATCATACTTTATCAACACAATTTTATAAAATATTACCTCATTTCCTAGTTACCTTCATTATTCTTAATTAGCTATGCAGAAAGAGAAAAAGAAAAGTCTCTCATGCTACTTTCCAGTTATATTAATAAAAGTATTAACACAGTGCATTATGCTCTCTAATTTCACTATTGAGGTCTACCATTTAGATCAAGTTTGTCATTCACTGTTCCAATTTCTCTTTTAACCTGCCTACCCTAATTAAGTCCATGCAAGAGGAAGCTTAAAGATCAAGACTATATATCAAATACAGTTGTACCTTCTTTTTTTTTTTTTTTTTCTTTTGAGCGGTGGGGCACGCACACATGTAATTTTTAACACAGGGAGTTTTACAGAACTGGAATAGAATTGCTTGGTCCCACAAAGTTCTTCTGCTTTAAAAATGTCTTAACCCAAGATCACTAATTCCAGACAATTCCCTCTTTAGTAGAATGATTATCAAAGATTGGGAAAATAAAGGATTTGAAACATTGGTTTTTCTGCTGTTGTTCACACCAACACTCATTTTTCTACCCTGTATTTTCGGTAAGCTTCCTTTGGACCCTGAAAATAAGTTGGGAAAGAGGAAAAAAAACCCAACATCATTGGTAAGTTAGATTATAACACTTTAAAAGTGGTTTTGTGCAACTGCATTACGAAATTCCAGTTTGCCATTAAGAGCATGCAAACTAACGAAGATTTTCTTTCCTTTGATTCCTTATAGACATCAGGAATTCTTTGCAAGTCTTTTACATTTGGCAGATTTGTGCATGTTATATAGACTATTGGCTTATAAATTGTCTCCAGGCTGGTATTGTGGTTCTGTAGCAGTAAAGTAGTCCTCCAAGAAAGACTGTATATATTCAAATGTTGGTCTCTCATCAGGGTCCTTCTTCCAACAGAGTTTCATTAACTCATGGAGAGACTCTGGGCAGCCTTGTGGGCAAGGCATCCTATATCCACGTTCCACTTGTTCCAGAACTTCCCGATTCACCATCCCTAAAAGGAAAGCATTTTAGCTCTGAATGACATTATACAAAGAACAGTTTCCCATAGTTTTTCAAGTGTCTCTCCAGCTGCAATGCACGTGAATCTACCATAACAGAACCTTTAACGAACGCACTTTATAATGAATTAATTTTTTACATTTTGCATTAAATACATTTTCTGAAAATTATTTCATTACACTGGTAATTCCTCAATATCTGGTCCTTCTTCCATTTGTACGCTTTCTCATTCATATCCTTTCCCACTGCCTTGGGCCTGTTCTTTCAAAAAGGAGACTCAAGCACAAATACCTTCTGCCTGCCTTAGGTTCCATTCAAGGACCACTTAATTTGAAATCAGGCCAACAAAAAGGCATTTTATGCCTAACAGAACCGCCTTACAAATTCCAGTCACGGCAAAATATTTGCCAAAATATGTTACATATGCTTAGTTTCAAAAACTGGTCTAGCAGGTTCATGCTACCGATGCTCACTGTAGCCTGGGAAAATGTCAAAAGTAGAAATTTCAGGAACAGACAGATAGGAAAACATAAGGATACCACCTAATCTGAAATGAACTATCAGTCACATTTACAAATGCTATTATCTTAAAACACTTAAAAAATATATAATAATCTGTAAATAAAACAAAGTAGCTTTGTGAACAAAAGAACCAGTGAAGCATGACTAAATTTTTGTCTCTGCTTGTCAACTGTGGGCTCTGAATGAAGGCAAAAAGTACAGAAGGTAGCTTCAGAAGCACAGAATACAACAAAGAAAAGAAAAATCTATTATATTTTCCTCTTACCTGGATATGGCACTCTCCCCTTTGTTACCAGCTCTGTCAGTAAAATTCCAAATGACCACACATCTGACTTGATTGTAAACCGACCATATAATGCTGCTTCTGGAGCAGTCCATTTAATTGGAAATTTAGCTCCTACAAACATTGGGAAGACAGATACTCAATTTTTCCTTCCTTATGCATCATTTGCTTACACTTCAAAATATTTTAGAAAGAATACTGTACTCAAAAAATTTTTACATTTTGCTTTGTTGACAAAATGCGAGGTGGTTTAGTCTTTTAGTATTTCAAACTTGAAATTTGAAAGCAGTTTCAAACTAGGCGAGCGACTACCAGCTACAATTTTTGGAAGCAGCTAAGACATCTGGGATTCTTAATTAAATATATTTCAAAAAGTGGGATGATCTTCAGCATCTGATGAGCAACCTCTCTGGAATTGCAGCTCTCTTCAAACTGTAGCAAGTTTTACCCCCCAAAAATAACTAAAAACATTTTTGAAAACATAAGCAAACTGCCAGACAATTTTGGACATTAAAAAGTTTACTAAAATTGCACTTAGGCGAGGGGACCAGTTAAACATAGCTATGAAAGCACATTTATATGCATAATCTTTATTCATGCAGACAGAATACACAGACACACTCTGCTAAATATAATAGTTCTAAGTAATTTGAAAGTAACTGGTCTTATTTATTCAGTAAATAAATCGGTCTTACCTTGTCTTGCAGTGTACTCATTGTCCTCTATTAACCTTGCTAAACCAAAGTCTGCTATTTTACACACAAGATTGTCTCCTACAAGAATGTTAGCTGCCCGGAGATCCCTGTGGATGTAGTTCATTCTTTCAATGTAAGCCATGCCATCAGCAATCTTAAAAATAAAGTTTTATTAAAGATTATTTTTCATGACTATATAAGCTTCTCCCAAGCATTAAGCTGTACCCCTTTATCTTAACTCCATTCTCATTGTGTAAGTATAGGAAGTATAGCATAGCAAGAGCTTGTGACAGCACTGATGAGAGTGTGCCTGGCTATACTGTATCTGCTAATTGGGAACTATACTGTTTCTTTTTGAGAAATTACAAACCTACAACAGAAGATGTAAGACAGAACAGCATAAAATAGCCAGAGCGCTCAAGGTCTAGTTTAGTTTAGTTGATATCTCATATACTTTTAAATCTGTTTCCTAAGCAATAAATACAGTTTTCTCGGTTTATACAATGTACCTGAGCAGCCATGTCCACAAGCTGTGGGAGTTTTAAGTATTTCCCTTCTCCTTCTTTAAGGAAGTCTAGCAAGCTGCCTGTAAAAGATGACACATTTGGGGAAAAAAAGAAGGAAAAAACCCAAAACATTAATTTCACCTGAAAACATGAATGAATTTTTTTTCCCTAGACATTACAACTTAGACATTCATCTCTCAAAATCTATGTTTGAAAAACCTGTCATTTAACAGAATACATGACTCGATGACTATACCTGTAGTTGACTCTGCCCTGATAACTAGTTAGTGCAAGTTTTATTCAAGTATTTTGGAATCCATTTCAATAATTCAGCTAACTAAACACTAATAAAACAGACTGCTGCTTGATGATTATATGGCAATACATAAGGATTTTTCCCAATATTCCTGGTATCAACACACTTCCTAGTTGGACTTTTTTCCACAGTGAGATTTATAATTAGAGAACAAAAAACTTCCTATCCATTACTTAAATTTTTCTGCCAGCTCAATTATATACTAAAGAAATGATTCTGAAATCGTTGCTTTTATTTTGTTGCATTGTCTTCCTTACAGGGGAAAACCAAACTTGCATTCTTCCATTCTTTACTATATATTATCTTCTCCCATTTACATAATGCAATCATTTCCAGAACATTACAACATAAGTAGTATTTGAAATCAGTTCCAAGGACCTGTGCTCCTGTTAAGACATTAACCTTTACATGCATGGTAAAACTTTGTCTCTGACATAAGAACTTTCCTTACAGGTGTTATTAAGCCATAAGGGTATAGGAACATGATCTCTTTATTAAGAAACTTGTGAAGACTGATAACTAATCAGTCTCATCACAGTCAAAATTACAATGACAAAATTGCAAGTGTGACGATGGTGGGGGAAAAACACACTGAACTGCAGATCTTGCAGTGGATTCATGGCTGTAGCTGTGAATTAGATACCTCTGATGTGGTTTTAGTCACTTGCTGTATTTTTGCATTGAAAGTGAAAGTGTGGCAGGCCAGACCCACACTGCTGCTGATGTTTGCTGGGTGTGTTTGCACAGACTTTCTCCATCTTGGTTCATGAGCTCAAAGGACTGAAGAAGAGCAAAGATTTCATGTTGACCTCTAGTAACCTGTCCACATTGGAAAAAAATTTTGGGTACTGTGCAGTTCATACCCACCTCTTTCCCTTGTAAAAGGAGAAAGAAAAAGAAAAGGAAAAAAAAAAGTTCTACTAACTTTCAAGTATGAACCAAAGAGGTTTTATGTTTTTGGTAAAATGTGAGAAGTTTTTGAAATGAAAACGGAGGCTTCCAATGGCATTTTGAATCCATAACTTCGATAAACATGCAACTACTTTTCCAATTCTTTACTTCTGCTTTTCCAAGGTAACATCCCAGTTCCGGTTTTAATCTTTACTTTTTCTTAGGCAGAATACTATAGAGCTTTTTTTTTTTTTTTCCTGACTGTCTGGCCAAAACCTGATTTCTGAACAATGAAAACTGATTTTACATGGCAGCTTTAAGATCTGACAGAGAGACTGTCTAGTGTTATTTAGGAACAACACCACAGAAGGAACTTTTTATATTTTCTACTCCTTTCTACCTTTTTAAACTTTTACAATGCCTAAAAACCCCATCCAAGCAGGAAAAAAACCCCCACCCACATATTTGTGGCAGAGTACTGAACACAAACAGCCACTCTCTTGGACTTTAACACTGTTTCTATTTCTTATCAGGATAGCAAAATTTCTCTGTGAGGTGAACAGAAGTCTGCATTTTATAAAACTGGAATAATTGACTTGAAAATCTGCTGCTTCTTAACACTAATATGCTTATGATGTTTGTTTCTACGTTCAGCCTAAATCTCTAAATGTCTGTTTCAGCAGCAGGGGGAGGGGGAAACGATATAGAGCAAGGGAAGAAGGATGAAAGACCAAAAACAAGGAGGTAAGGGAGGGAGTCTAGAAAAAAACCCTCAAGCTTTTTAAAATTTACTATTACACTTCTGGAAAAGAAAAACTAAAAAAAACCCCAAAACCCCAACAAACCCAAACCCAACTGATTCTGTTGCTGTGAGCACGATCTGTCTACAGGCAGGTGTATTCTCATAACAATATTCCCAGCTATACCATCCAATTTAAATGAAACAGGCAACACACACTAAAAAAATGAGGGGGAAAAAACCCCAATCTTGTACTTGGAAGATTAGCAAGGGTGACAAAGATGTGCAAAAAAATCATGCCTCCACCCACGATCTAAATCAGAACTGCTTCAAGTAGGTCAAGCGTTGCTCATTTTAATTTTATCAAAATTACCACTTCCACTCCAGTCAGCTTAAACCTAACATTAATTAAACATTTAGTTTGTTGCTGGGATCTTAAATAATCTTTTAAATGTAGTATCTTCAAACTGTTCTGTCACACACCTTTTGTCATGAATTCAGTGACAATGTAGATTGGTTCCTCAGAAACGACGGCATAGAGCGGAACAAGTTTGTCATGTCGTAATTTCTTCATGATCTGAGCCTCCTGCAGGAAAGCTTCTGGCATCATTGTACCAGGTTTTAGTGTCTTGATCGCTACTTTTGTGGTTCCATTCCATGTTCCTAGAGAAAGAAGTTAGATTTTATTCTCCTCTATAATACTGAAGAGATTTTCTGTTGAAACTTTTTGCTTCCATTTTGTTAGCTAACAGTATAATTATAAATTACAGCTATATTGAATATTATTTTTACCTTTATGTGACTGATTGTAATTGGTACTTTTTCTGTTCAATTCTTTATCAGATTATCTTTTTAGATCCCAATACTGATTTACTGAAAATACTATTAAAACATTCACATGAAAAACTGAAAGGTGTCACATTAAGCTCTTACCCATCCATACTTCACCAAAACATCCTTGGCCCAACTTAACTTCCAGCCTCAAGGATTCTCTAGGAATTTCCCAGGCATCTTTTGCTAGTCCCTGTGTTTGTGGTTTCACAGTGGGACACACGGTTGTTAGCTTATGACACAGCCCATCAGCATGTTCTGGAAAATGGAAAAAATAAGCTTTGTCATTAAGCAGGGGTTAAGGCTATAACAAAAGTAAGATCTTAATGTTGATAAAAAGAACTAGTCCATTTACTGTTTGTCAAAATAAAGAAGAAATTTAATAATTGTGAATTTTAAAAATAAGCTACATACGCAGGTTTTTTTCCTCATGATAGTCACAAGGTAGCATTGGGACACTAGAACTGGGGCTTACCTCTGTAGTGTTTCACCAACTTCTGCAGAGATTCAAATTGTGCTCTAGTTGTGATATAGTATCCACCATTGTCAAGTTTTCTGATTTTGTAGTGTTTCACATTATCACCTCTGACCTCATCCCAGTCACGTATGGAAAGGGAGTAAGCACCTAGGAAACAAGTCATACTTTGTTCTTCACCAAAAATTTAAAAACGTATTTAATGTATCTCCCCCACTGTCACTATACACATGTGCACATGCATATATAAAATGTGATAAATGTAAAAATGCTTATTATGTCCACCTTGGTGGGGTGGGGAGAGAGAAGAGATATACATACCTTTAGTGGTTTCGCTCTCTCTTACTAAGAAAATACCACGCTGGTTCCCAGGATTTAAAAGTAGCCTTTCTGCATCCTTCCTGCCCATTTTACCAAAATACCACCTAGAAAATGTTAAAGGAAATATGTGTAAGTAAAAGCTTCCTATGCTTTGGTAATCATACAAATACAGGATTTAGAAATCTCAAGCATTGACTGGACTACTAATATCCCAAAGCAGTTACAGAGCAACAAAAGTAATGACATCCATATAATCAAAATATTTAGATGACCTATTTCTATATGACTCTCATTTCTATTGTTTGCAAAATACATGTAAAGAGGCCTCTACCTGCAAATACTGTGTTTTTCTGATGGTTTAACAATGGACATCAATGGTACTTAACATTGAAAGTAACTTCTGGTTAAGGAGTTCACAGGTCAAGCTGAATCAGATGACATACTTTGGTAGCACACTCAAAACACTGCAGCAGTTGAAACTAACTTCTGTAAGAAGTTTTGGCTGTATGTTAGAAAACAATATTTAATGCAAAGTGGGTGTGCATAAATATCATTGGATCACAGGTTTATTCAGCTTGGAAGGGGCCCTTGGGAGGTCTCTGGTCCAGCCTCCTGCTGCAAGCAGGGCCAGCTGTGAGATCAGACCTGGTTGCTCATAGTGTTGCTCACTCCAGTCTTGAAATCCTTGAAGGATGGACCCTGCACAGCCAACCTGGGCAACCTCTGCCCCTGCCTGGCTGTCCTCAGGATAACAAGGTTCTTCTTACATCCAGGTGGAACGTCTCCTGGTTCAACTTCTATTGCCTCCCGTCCTTCTCTATCTCAGTAGAGGGAGCACTTTTTTCTACTGATCATTTAGAAACAACCCTGTGGTAGGTATCATTTACTTCTCTGAGTAACACTCCATCTTTGTTGCATCATTCTTTTACTGAAAAGTAAGCAAATGTTTTAAAACACCACCTGCATTTTTTCTTGCCTTAAGTTCTTTCACAAAAGGAATTTCTTCTTCTATGCTCCCACAGTGTGCTTATCCTGATGAACAGCCTACATACAGCTCTGTCCTGAGCCAGTGATAATTTTAAGGTCCATCTCCCAGTGAAACCCCAGACTTTGGAATAACACTAATTTCTAACTACATTTTATTTTGATTGTGTGCCTCAGAAGTCACAAAATGATGCAAAGTGTAAATCTCAAACGTTTTCATTTGGCACCATCATAGCATCAAGCAGATCTGGCTTCATGAGTGTTGGGAGAAGAAAAGTAGTGTTGGAAACTGCTGCAAAACAATGGTTTTGTGGGTGAAACACTTTGCGGGGGAAAAAATGTAGGCAAGGAGGGATCATTTTGTTGGCCTGTGAACAGAATGGCCTGTGCAATCACTTGGGAATTTGAAACTTATTCTTGCTTTTTATTGTATTTGCAGTTTGACTGTTTAAGTAGATGTGGAAAGTTAGAATCGGATATAAGAGTACATACACCTGAGACAATCTGGATATAACCAATAATCTTATTGAAGCAAACTTGAACCCTAGTTAATTACTTCACATGAAAATGCCTCTTCCGCAGACTACTACAACAATTTACAAACTATATTGTAAAGTGCTATTTTATTTCATTACCTACAAAATAACAGTAGGGTTTACTTGTTCTTTTTATGAGCATTAAACATTTATATTATAGTATCATTCAAAAGGCACATGGATAACAGGGATCCCATCACAAGCAGTTTGTGATATAAATGCAGTCAGCTTAGAAAAGACCACTTAAAGAAAATCCTAGCAACCTAGGGCTGCGTATTGCTTTTGCACTTGTAACTCCAACTGCAATCACAACACAAAACCTATAAACACTATCAAAGCCCAGGGCTACCAAATGAACTCTAAAGCAAATTAACTCTATTCTGAATGCTGTGATGATATTTTAAAAAATTAGCACTAGTTCTTTAAAATAGTTTAAAAAAGCTTCTTCACTCATCACACCTCACTCTCACCTCCAGTCATCACATAAACCTATGACAAATCCCACCACCCTGTTTTGCCAGTCTTTAGGAGCAATACTTTCTTTGCAGAAACACTGCATTCTTAGTTTGCAAAGGGCTACTGTTTCCATTTTACCACCACTGCAGCTGTAATGACAATATGCTTTTATTGCATAGTTTAAAAAAAACAAACAAAAAACGCCCAACTTTTTTCCCCAAAAAAATCTGAAGTCAATGATTTTAAAAGCAGCTGAAACTCAAGGGCATAAAATAACAGTGCATCTTTGATGCAATCATTTTTTAATAGCAAAGAGCCAGGTGAAAGCAGCAGCAACATGCTAAAGTCTCAGCTTGAGATTCAGGAAACATCTTGGAAATTGGGCACTTTGCCCAGAAGAGCAGTAGCAAACACAGAAGTGTGCAGATCACATATCAGGGAATTGCTTATTGGCAGTACCATACCTGTATATTGAAGCAAGAGCTGCGGAGCTTTATATTTCTAGTACAACAAATACAACTAATCCCTTGGAATAAATATAACCTGAAACTGTACCCCAACTCACAGTTCCCACTGTTACTTTATGTGATTTTGTAAGCACTCTGTGATCTTTGTAAATAAATGTAGGAAGCGCTGGTACCCAAAGCAACACAATTTTCCCAATTCATAGTAGCTCTTAGTGTGCCTAACAATTTTGTCACCAAAAAGTTGTTATAGATTAATAGATTAGTAATAACTGTCCACACAAATGATTTTTTAGAATGTAAGATTAGGTGCTACCAAGGAAATAACTGATCTTGAATTAGGGTTTGGCAAGCAAAAATAAGGATAAAAACCTAGAATTGATGGTGTGTGAACTCTTTAACTAAAAACCATCCACTTTTGCTTTATATGAAACACAATGCATGTCCCACAATTCTTATATTCATTATTGCATTCTCCCAGCCTTTCTCCTTTAGCCCTACATATAGCAAGCAGGCATAAGACATTTGCATGACTGCCCACCTCACACTTACTACTAATTGTACCTTCAACATCATCCAAGTAGCATTGCTATCCTTCAATTTGCAGTATTATCCTACTTTACCCTTAAATGTTACATACACTGAATTAAAGGAATAGTGTCACTACAGGGCACAAAGTGTAGAATGCATAATAAGAACAGATTGACAGGATACAATGTCTTACTCTTCTGCTTGAATAGAGTCTGCAGGAGCTACATAATTGCTTGGGATGTAGCCTGTTTTTCCGGTAGCAATGGATCTTGCTTCCCACCAGTCTCCTTCCCTGCAATGAAACATCAGTTATCTCTTCCACATATAAATAATACATCATTCCCTAGCACCTATAACATCCTCACATATGAAAGACAGGTTAAATTTAGGTAATGTGTTATTTTAATTATGAAAGCATCTAAAATAGTTTGTGCTGCAACACGAATGCCTCTTAGTGGAAGTTTGAATAGTAAAGGTTTGGGTTTTGCAGAACACAAACCTACAACAAAACATTTTATGGCAGAGATGTGTAAATAAACTTCCCAGTTCTCTAGTCTTCATCTGCCTCTCCCAGATCATTCTGCCTGTGTGCTGACAGTGAGCAATAAAGGAAGCAGGAAGTCAGCTAATAAAATTAGAGAACCGGACGAATGAAAGCTGCTACATGTATGAATTAGAACTATTACCACAGCCAAAATCTGCACGTAAAGAAATCTGCAGGGTGAACAAATTACTTCCTTTTCACTAGACTTCCAGAAATCAGGCTGTAATACTGTTAATGCTGCTGCAATTGAACTAGAACATCAAACTACTAATAAACTATCTGAGCACGGATTTACTGTGGAGGCCAGCTAGGCACACTTCCAAGGTGAGATGTCCCTGCCTACAGGCAGTGCACTCACCTCCAGCATTTGTCAGTGCAGTGCTGCCGGCTGCACCCACCTCCCCGTGAGATATGGAAACCTGTCAGAGAGAATCTGCAATGTGCAGAGCCTTGGATGGGACAGTATGTGTCTTCACCTCTGCTGCCTTGCTGGAGCAGGGAGTGGAAGGATGCCACCCAACCAACTGAGCACGAGAGGCTTAGAGCTGTCCCAGTCACTACAGTTCTACATCTGCACCCAAACCATGAGCTCAGCCTGAAGGTTATTGTCTTACTAGTATCAATATTTTAACCCCATGCTTGTTGAACATTGCATGCATTCAAGAAAAAGAAAAAAAATAAAAGTCTACTCTTCACTGAAATAGGATACACAGATTTCAAGAAGAGTTGAGGATCTATTTATTCCCAACAACAACCAAGTGAAGTCTGTGAATGAGAACACTTACGTGTTATTTATTATCTGGAACCGTTCACCTTTCTTAAATGAAAGGTCATCTGTAGTTCTAGCTTCATAATCATATAAGGCCACAAATACAGTAACACCACCTTAGGAGAAAGAAAAAAAACCCCATATGATATAGCAGTAACATTGCAACACTTGATTTAAGGACTTGTCTGTGAAACAACTCATCAGTTTTGATTTGGAAGCAACTAAACACTCTGGGTTGCTTCTCATTTTGGAAGCTGGATCAACAATCAGCTCATTTCTTAAGACAGCGGAAAGCCTATAAACAGACACCCTAAAAATATGCTTCCACACCACAAAAGATAGCTAGATACATCACTGGAAGTACATTAGAGCACTTATATACAGAAACCTGCACAACGTATCAGCAGTAAAAAAAAAAAAATCTAGCTTCTTTATTAAGCTAGCTTCTTGTTAAGAGATGCAATTCTAGAAGATCCTACAACACCACAACAGTAAACAATCAGAAGTAGTTTCCTGTTGAACTTAGCTATAAATAACTGATGTGTTCCCAACTTTCTGAGGTTATACATCAAGATCTACTCAAGGAACTGGACCAGAAATAAAAGTATTCTGTTGGGGACAAAGACATTTCTCTGCTTTAGGACTAGTGATTTTCTTAATTCCATCAAGTCTCCCCACCAGTGAAGCAGACCCTTGCTGAGGATGATCCATCAGGGCATTATTCTAGAGAACAAGGACTGAGATACATCACAGGATGAGCAGCTGCACTCCACCAGCCCTAAGGAATTTGCCTCCCCATCCCACTTCTGGTATAGGGCATGTTGTTGAACATGTCCCACAAACAGGATACTCGTGTGACAGATGGATGGTAGGGAGGCTCCTATACTTACAGTAGGAAAACTTCTTCTATACTTAAAAGAGCTAATGTATAAAACTGGGCTAAAAGAGAAAGAGGGAAAGGAGAACAGGCTATATGAAATGTGCAAGCTACGAGCAAAAATAAAAAACTATGCACCATAACTAGGAGAAAGTTAAAATAGAAAACTGCAGATGGGCAATTCAGAAGGACTTTTTAAGCTCTAGAAATGCCATTTCACAGTCTAATGGACATTCAGGAAGCCTAATGATAGTCCAAGCAATAACTTATTTTTAAATGTATACTATTACATCTCTAACATCATCATAACATAACATATGTACCAGGATATACATGGAAGACCACCAGCAGAAACATGTTGCGTCTAATTTTAGATCTTATACTCAACACAACAGTGATGAGAAAGGAAGAATATATAATGAAACGGGTATTGTCTACATCTAAAATTCTTTTGCAATGTATACTTTCTGATGTAACAGCTCCTAATCACTTAAATATTTTCATTTGATTTAGGCTTCCTGTGATTACAGTCTCTCAGCAGGCCTCAGATGGAAATGAATTTACAGTTCCTCTAGGAAAAACAGAACAAAAAATCCCCACAGGAGGTTAAAGTAATTGATGTTTTTTTTCTGAAGTGTGATTTATGAACTGAAAATGAATTAGAATATTCCCTAGAAGTTAACAGTTCCTAATCTAAGTTAAAAATCAACACAGTTCTACCAGTTTTTGCCTGCATAACTATGTTACTGCATTATTTTGATGACAAAACCCGCTACATGGAGCAAGAAAATTGTGGGGATATATACCGTATTCGCACAAACAGAAACCAAATGTTACAGAAATAAACCATCCCCAGAGAGTTCTTCAGCAGATGAAGAAAATCAATACTCTCAAGTCACAATATCACAAGTTTTTAACTGCATATAAAGAAACTGGGAGACTCTAAGAACTTCAAAATAAACTGTACATCTAGAAAGATACTAATGTGGGAACAAGAGAAAGATTAATTCCTCTAGACAGTGTAGCACTAGTCAAAGTAATGGATTCAAATGTAAACCATGCAATAAAAGAATTATCAGTAATTATCAATATTTATGTACTCTTAATTATTTTTAAAGAAAGAACTGTAAAAGCTAACATATAATCCTTGGAAAGTTTGATTTCAGCAATTCAGCTACCATAAAACCTCTTTTTATTCTCACTCACAAAGGTTATTTATTTCATAGCAAACGATAACAAAATACTTAAGGAGAACAGCATCAGCACAAAATGTTTTAAACAAACAGATACTGCTCAAATGATTTTTGAAGTCTCTTGCAGCTGTTTACTTTGTGCATCACTGCAAGGTGATCTTGTTTAGCTATTTGTGGTCATAATACTTCCCTTAAAGTTTATCCTTTCATTAGGTCAGTATTCCCATCCTCTAAACAAGGACTGGTTTTGGAGAGAAGACTTTACTTTCTTGTTCAGCATGAGGATTACAGAGCACTAGTGCTTACAATGCTTCATGGAAGGCAAGAACAGCAGTCCATTTTTCTGTTTTGATTTTCAGTAATAGTCTATGAATTCCAAGTATCTGATGACTGAGGATGTGTAATACAGGAGCAGTGTGACTAACTCAGATTTTTTTTTTTCTCCTTTCTGCTCTAGAGGAATAAAAGATGGCTCCACTCTTCCCAGCCTCACTACAGGCCACAATGACAACCATATCATCCCCTTGTCAGACATCACTGATGGACTGGGTAAGTACTACCGACACTTATGTCCTGTTTGACAAGCCCATCTATTCTCCTCTCTTGCAAAACAAAGGGCCACAGAATGTGATCCAGTGTTCTATTCATCACAGACAGAAAAAGCTTAGAGCCAGAAGAAGTTTTTCATCTTATACATTCATAAAAACATCCAATTTTGACTGATCTGAAAATTGGTACTGAATGTACCAGTTGCTGGTGCAATTTTTATTTAAAACAACAACAACAAAAAACCCCCCAAAACAACAACAAAAAAGTGTGTGTGTTTGTGGATGGGCTGGTTTTACAAAATGAGGACAAATTATTACATATGCAGTATCATTTTACTTGATTGCAAAATGATGGGGGTGTTCACCCAAATCAGTTTGCCTGGTGATAACTGAATCCACACTGATGAGATATTAGCCTATCTTTTCATGAGAAATCTCTCCTGTTGACTCTGGTCCAAGATATAACATGCTTAACTACCAGCAGGAACAGGGACAGGCAAGAGAAATTCCCTTCCGGTCTCTGCAGAAAAGGATTTGTGGTACACGCGGGGGGCCTACATCCCTGTTGTCTGGTAATGCCCAGGAGTGCCTGCATGCACTGCTGGAGGTTCCCACGTGAACAAAGAACCAGATCTACTAAGAAGAAATGCACAGAGTTTCTTGGAAGAGATGAAGATTTGTTTAAGCACAATAAACATTTTTTAGTGGAGCTAATGAATAAAAAGAAAAGCTGCCCTTATTTCATTTCTCCATATGTTCATCCAAAACAGCGATTCAGAGCTGGCTCAAAAATTTTGAGATAGGATAGATGCTCATTTTAATTATTTGGTTTTTAATGAATTCCCAAAAAGGGAATATGAGGTGATCATTACCCAGCAATTCATATTTGGTTTTCTGAATTGCTTCATGTCAAGGCCACAGTGAGTTTTCATGGATCTCAAATTTCTTGTGTTTAAAAGATTTTTAAATGCCACTGTAACAAAGCAAATATTTAAGCACTGTATTTGTGCTAATATTAGAGGTTTGTGGAAAGACTAGAAATAGACTAATAAGGAATTATTCACCGTGTTTTGTGAAGTGTCTGTGCAAAGCTTCTAGAATAAATTACTCTTTCCTTTCTTTCTCAAAAAAGAATGAATTACGGCTTCCTCTCAAAAATACCCAGAAAAACTAAGTGAACTACTGAGATTAGCCATGTGCACAAAATCAATGTGTATGTAATGAAGTTTTAAGATTTTCATATAAAGGTGGTTTTATAACATAAAATGTGTGTATTGCTTTAAAATGCTCTATCTTCAGAGACTATATCTCAGCGCCTAGTAAATTCTATTTTTACATTTTCAACTTTGGTTTTAATATGACCAACAACAATCAGAATTTTGCTGTTTTGTTTCACACATATTGTTCACATAGTAAAGTACACAGAATATACTGCATATCCTGTTTAGCTTTATAAATGAACAGATTCAATGTTGCATTAATATAAGTAACTTATAGGTAATCAAATAAGTCTGAAAAACAGTTTAAACTATACATTTCCTGAATTTGAAGTAGTTTTCATTTTGCACCTCTCTCCAAAAGTTTAAAGTCATTACCCCATGTGCATCCCTTCAATAGCTTAGAACTTCTACCACAATTTTATCAACTATTCCCATTAGCCTGTCATGGTTTAACCCCAGCTGGCAACTAAACGCCACGCAGCCGCTCACTTACTCCCCCCCACCCAGTGGGATGGAGGAAAGAATCGGAAGGAAAAAGGTAAAACTCGTGGGTTGAGATAAGAACAGTTTAATAGAACAGAAAGGAAGAAACTAATAATGATAATAACAACAATAATAAAATGACAATAATAATAATAAAAGAATTGGAATACACAAAACAAGTGATGCACAATGCAATTGCTCACCAATCGCCGACAGATGCCCAGTTAGTTCCTGAGCAGCGATCCCCCCAGTTTATAAACTGGACATGGTGTCACATGGTATGGAATACCCCTTAGGCCAGTTTGGGTCAGCTGCCCTGGCTGTGTCCCCTCCCAACTTCTTGTGCCCCTCCAGCCTTCTTGCTGGCTGGGCATGAGAAGCTGAAAAATCCTTGACTTAGTCTAAACACTACTCAGCAACAACCAAAACCATCAGTACGTTATCAACATTCTTCTCATACTGAGCCCAAAACATAACACTATACCAGCTACTAGAAAGAAAATTAACTCTATCCCAGCCACAACCAGGACACTGCCTTTAATAAGTCTTGAATTTCTCTGTGCTGTGATCCTACCCCCTGCCCACAAAACCAAAAGCCAAAACACCCAACACCCAAGCCCCAGTCACTAGTGAATATGGGCTGAATTATTATCTGAGCAATAAACATATTAGAAATCAGAAATCCCTAAAAGGCAATTTATTTTAAATTTGCAATTTATTTCTGTGTGACAAGGGGTATAGTATTTTTTTTATATGGCTGTCAAGCTTTACTACTACTACTACTAACAGCAGCAGCATCTTATGTAACACTCACCTGTTAAAGTACTAGGATATGGACTTGGCACAGCTGAAAATGAAGATGATGCTCCTCCGAAGGGTGTCATTCCTGAGGGCCCTCCAAAAGGAGTCATGGAATGACTATTAAAATTAACTGCTGATCCCTTTATTGACGGTGACTGTGTTGCTTGGCTGGAGTCTGATCCATAATGGCTGACATGGGAAATAACAGGTTCTGGAGTATTATCAGTTCTGTATTTCATGGCTGGACCTTTATCTTCTTTGCTTTTAATGCACCCCATGGTCGCTTCTGTGAGAATGAGGGGAAAAAGTAAGTTAATCTCCATGTTCCGTCTTTTGATAGTTAACACAGAAGATTCCCCAAAAGTTGCTGAAAATGTTGATTTATTACTGGTTGAAAAAACCAAAACAACCCCAAGCAATTGCTCCCATGTGCAGTTTATAAACTCTGATGAAAAACTGCTCTGGAATAAAATCTAACGTCATTCCCAGACTAGAGAGGACATAATTATTTTCCCTTACAACACCACATACTAACAGCACATTTGGATTATTCTTCATCCCAGTTCCTTGGTGGACTGTAAATGGTAAAAAAGAAGAAGAAAAAAAAGAAAAAAAAAGAGGGAGTCAGGCAACAGACAAGGAAAAGACACTGAAGACTTCTATAGCAGGATGGAAGGGGAAACAAAGGTGACAAATCCTGAGTCAATTGTATGAAAAAAATCCAAAGCAATTACACAAAGAAAATGAGTGGAGCATTCCTGCTTTCTTTTTTAAGCACCTGTGCAATAAGGTCATGACCTGGTGATGGTATTACAAATAATATCTTTAAAGACGTAGAGAAGTTTTCATCCATTGCCAGCCCCCAAAATACAACTCAAAAACAAACCTGGCATATTCATGGCCACAGGATAGGGTTAAACTCTAAAGTCTAACTAGAGCTAGAAAAAAATTTAGGAGAGTAATTACAACATCTGTAGTGGTTTAGAAACTGAACTGTGCCCAGACAGGTTACAATCTATAGCCCTGACAGCCCAAGATTGCCACCAGCTCCCACTACAGGCAGACTGTGCCAGAGCTGGTTACTAGGGGGACACTATTACCCCCTGATGGAGGCAACCAGAGAGGAGACGTGTCATCAACAATTAAAATGGCTGCGTCTTAAGAAGCCACCATCTGCCTTTTATCAGGTGGTGACAACTGATAGCAGGCCTTTTCTGGCTTACCCTGGTGGGGAAATAAATCAGGAAGAAAACAGGAGTCTCTATTAGATGCAGCACTAGTCTGGCATGAAAATTCCTGTATTCTTGGGGGAAAAAAAAGTTAAAAAATCTACTTTAACTTCAAAAGTAGAAACCTCCACAGAAATAGGGAACCAGTTAAAAAAAAAAAAAATTAACAGCAGCAGTCTGAAAGCATTAAAAATACATCTTTTGATAACTAGAACAAGATTTTCATGGACTGTAACTAACAATTAGGGAAACACAGTGTTTCCCATTGTGTGCCTATCTATTTATTTCCTTTTCAGTTCTCTCTAACCTTGTTAACTATTCGAAACAGAAATAGGGAATAAAGTAAATCTTACTAAATAAATGCTGCCTTAATATAGTCACACTGAGAGAAACTAATGCCCTCTGTATAACTAACCATTACAATACTAAAGATCCTGTAATTTCCTCAAGAACTCCAGAAGAGTTCCTGCAAAGAAAGTGGTCCATAGCTGGTGAAACACCATATGAAATTTACTGCTCATAAAGATTAAGAATATTCACCCTGTCAATTCAGGCCCTAATGCTGTAATGTAATACAATTACTGGTGCAGAAACAAGCAGCAACAAAGTCAAATGACTGCCTTTTTACAAATCTTGTCTAAGTGTTTTACACAGAATAATGAACCATCACAAAAGCACACCTTAACTTTTTTATTTTTTTACTTCTAGTACTATTATTGCCAACTTACTAATTGTGCACAAATGTTAACAGAGCAAGACTCAAATACATGCATGAAGAATGTAGTGTGTCTAAATACTTTACAAAAGATGCCTTACAAGCTACAGTAGAAAAGCCAGTTATTAATTCACAATATAAGTCAACCAAGCAGCCAATCACGTCCTTTTAATTTCTCTACCACTGCAAATAGACATTGTAATTTCAATCACTTTTTTTTGGCCACGTGGCTGCCTATTGTGAATTCTTGCCTTACTTTGAGGCCTATGTCTTTGATTCTGTTTAAAAAACCGCAATCAAAGTTTTCTGCTAGCACTGAATAGAAGTCCAATCACCTTTGCAAAAATGTCTTTGCTAATAGCACTGATTCCTTGCCTTCAGCTGAAAGTTAAGCATCACGCATGATTCAAAAGTCCAGCACACTACTTAATGTTAATAAAGTAGATTAAAAGGGAAATGTATGGACATTTGTACGATTACATGTTCATCAGAAATATTTATCCTCCCTTACTTGTGGCATTTGGTTAACTTATAACAGGCTGATAAGACTTCAAGATTTAAAAAAAAAAAAAAAAGAAAGGATAAAAACCAATTTACCAAGTCTGGTAAAACTGCTGGATTCTGCCCACGGTATTGCTGATTTGATTAAATGGCCAGTGACAAAGCTACCCTGCAGTTACAACTGCTATCACCCATACGTGCTTACCCACTTAAGCTGTGGTTAGCAGCAAGAAATTACCATTGGTACAGTTCAGTGCCTCAAAAAAAAAAAAAAAAAAAAAGAGCCCTTATTGAAGACCTGAATTCTTTCTAGAGAAATAAAGTCAGCCTCTCCCTTGCTTCTCCCCTCCCCAGCCACTTCACTGTTAAGGTAATCTTCTTTCAGGGGTTAAAGAGATTAACAACAGAGATTCAATCAGCACTTCAAAGAGAAAGACATTCAGAAACAAGCAGACAAAAATTTAAAAGCTCTACTTTTATAACTGCATACCCACAAAACAAAATTAAGGAAGTAAACTCGTTGGCTTTAAAAGTCAAAAACATAGGTGGAAATTACTATAAAACACTGTATGCATTTATGAGGAGGAATTAGAGGAATGAGGGGAGGGAAGATGACATAAACCAAGAGTGAGTAGCAGGGAAGGGAAAAATGATTTTCCCCCATATGGGGGGGGGGGGAACCCAATGACCTATTACTGTTTAGTCTTGTAATAAATTACTGGATAAAGAAAAAAAAATCCCTAAGCAGCTGGTATGCAATGTTGGATTTGATTATTCTGGTACTGCATTTGGTATCAAAAATGTATGTAACTGAAATAAATTTACCACTATTTTCATCACCCTTTGTCTGACTAGCAACTATTAAGGAACACATTTCTGTCATAAAATTCTTGGCGCTCTTTCTGAGGCACTGAACCCTTTTTAGGAATAGCTACAGATGAGAAGTTCCTGTCTGCTCTGTAGAAGTCCATCTATTCAAAGAAATGCTGGCCTAAGGTATGTTATTCACAAGCACTGACTTCCCACTAGTTAAATCATTATTTTAGACTAGACTGGTGTCTGAAGCAAACTACTTGAGTAACTTCAGCAGCTTGTTCTTTCTTTGAAACAGTACTCTCCTATTGGTTCTGATCAGCATGCCCATGCGTTTGATGGGGGGGTAAGGAGTCAGCTTGCTGAAGGTCTATCAGGAAACCATGTTCAGAAAGGCATGGACTAAAAGCACAGATGTCTTGTTCCACTTTCTAGATGAAACCAATCCTATGTTAGAATGTTTTCAAGAAGAAACAGAAGCTAAAATGATTACTGGAAGGACAGCTGAAGGTTAGCAGGATGCCCACAAAAATCAACAGAAGAATGAGACTCCTCCAGGAAGTAGTCATCAAATGAGATTTTAGTGACATCTAATTTGACTTGGGCTTTTTGGAGAAGTCCCACAAAGGGCAAAAGTTCATTGTCATTCAATACTCTACAAACACCTCAGACAATGACAGAGGACCCTTAATAACCCCTCTGCCAAACAAGAGAGCTCCACGAAAGTCAATGCTGCCCTCTTTTCTTCCCAATTCCTTTTTATAGCAGAGTGCTGGACTATGAGGAAAGCTTTGCTCAACAACAATTGAAAAGTGGAGTCAGTAAAGCCTTTGGTTTTTTTTTTTTTCTGCTTTCCTTTCAGAAAGATGACCTACCAGCCCAAGAAAAATGAGTTTTTCCTCAAGAGCCACCATATCCTAGGATACTGACAAACAGTTCCCTTGGGGTGTCTGCGGCCTCATCCATCCAGCCCAGAGAGGTAGGTGTCACAAGGGAACTACTCGTTCATCCAATGCATCTTTGCTCTTTCCAGTTGATAGTTACAGAAGTTATCTACTCATTGGTTCCTTGGGACACAAGGTTCTTGGGAGTGCTTCAAGAAAGGTCTCCTACTGGTGTGGAGAAAGATGCTAGAGCTTTCTTTGAAAGAGGTGATTTTAACGCAGGTGGATAAACTGACAATCTATTACAGCTAGCTGCCTCAGAGCAAAGCAGTCTGCAAATACTCAAAAGGGCTAGATCTTAGCCTCTGAAACCCTGAAGACCAAAAGCTGGGAGAGCCTCACATTTGTTTCACTTGCTGTAATGAACTTGATAACAAAACCCATTCACTAGAAAAAAACAAGAAAAATTAGTTTTCTCTTGGGGCCAACTGGAGGTACTCTTCTCATCTTGCACTTCTGTTATGATACAGCATATCCCCATGTGCCTTCTGGAGACTTTGTCATGATGTAAGACCAGCTGCACATAGCTGTTCTGATGTACCGCAAAGGGAAAGACACTCTAGGGAGTTGTTCTCTTTTCAACCGCTAGACTAAACCAGGTACTAAAACCATACAAGAACTAAAGGGTAGAGCAAAAGAAAAATCACTAAGGGGAAGGGCAGGTTGCAACGCTTCTTTTTTCCATTCCTTTTGATTACTGAATTTCAGTTCATACGGCCAAAACCAGCACATAACTCATTTTTCACTAAGAAAAAAGAGTCAAGTTAGAAGAACAAGCAAGTCAAATCTCTTTCCAGAAGGATAAAATAAGACTGCAAATATCCTCCTGCCTAAAAACAACAACAAAAAAACCCTGAAAAACACCCTCCCCCCCCATGCTACATAACATAAAAAAGAATTTCATTTCAGGTTCACAAATTGCTAATAAAAAGACAAAAAAAACCATTGAAGATTTCCACTGCTACTCTACCTTCACTACACAGTGTTAGCAAAAAAATAAATTGTTTCTGTCAAGAAAAGAAGTACATTCACTTCTCAAATGTGAAACAAATGTCTTACAAAAAGGTCCTCTTTCAACTAA